AGCATAGATCTCGGCACCGACAAGACTAGCCAACTGAACAAAACATACAGTTCTTGAAAGAGGCCAATCTTTTCTACAAAAATTAATTAATAATCGTATAATGATCCAACTTAACGTCAATCAGTAAAAAGGCTAAAGGCCTTAGATGCCAAGCCTTCAAAGAAAACTAACAATAACATCAATTAATAATAATAATAATAATAATAATAATAATAATAATAATAATAATAACAACAATAATAATAATACTTATTCAGTCACATATACAATTACAATCGTGTATGATGAGTCAATATGATGCCTTGGGTGGAGAAGTTACATAACTGTTCAGGCCATCTCAGCATTTGCTCAAAGGACCAGGGAAACTGAACAAAATCTGATCGAGATAGGGTCATTGGCTTAGAAATACAATACTTGTTACAGTTAGATTAAGATATTATACAGTATGTAAATTATCTGCTAATAATTAACATTTCAAGATGATATTTTAATGCTACTGCTACTTATAATAATAATAATAATAATTACATTAATAATAATAATGGAAATATACATATCAATTATGTTTGCCACTACATCAAATTTAACAATAGTAGTACATTCTATATTTAAAACTTGAAATGGCGAGGAGGCAAGTTTTGACCAGTTTTTTTCTTCTTTCAATTTGTACACGTAGTCCAGAGAGAAACAGAATTTTTTTTTAAAAAAAATTTTAATTTTTTTTTTTCAAGGATGCGATATTCCAGTTCTTTTTTCTTTGCTTCAGCTCGAAACAGTTTACATGAAACAGAAAGTCTAATGGGATAAAAAATTCTTATTTATTTATATTTTTAAGGGAAATGTTGTAATTTGAAAATTCCTTTACATTGTAGAACATGTTGTTAAGCAGGAAAGCTTTCAATTTACTTTTAAAGGTATGAATTGTGTTTATGTCTTTAATATCATTGCCTAGTTTGTTGTAAAGTGTAATCCCCTCTATTAGGGTACTTTTTTCATAAAGTGTAGTTTCAGAGTGGGGAACATGTAGGTTATCCTTTTGATGGGTGTTGTAGTTGTGTACATCAGAATTTAAAGTAAAAGTGTCTTTGTTTTCCATGAGAATTTTCTTTGTGAAGACCACTATTTCAAATATATACATGCATGGTAGAGGTATATACATGCCTTAGTTTATTAAACAAGGGTTTGCAAGACTCCAGCTTATGAGTGCTGGTCATTGTTCGCAATATTCTTTTTTGGTTAATAAATGTGCGAGTGCTTTCAGGGGCATTTCCCCAGAATATTATTCCATATTTTAGGTGTGAGTACACATTTGCAAAATACTTTGTTCAAAATGTCTCAATGTTGGAGACATGGTATGCTTACAGCAATTCATTAGGCTGAACACCAGTGGCATATTTTGGGGGATTCAAAGATCAATGTTCAATCTGGGAATGCAGCTAGATTATTCAAATTCTCTTTGTTTCCTTTGCAAATAGTAGTGTTGCATAGACAGCCCGTAATAAAAAAGAAACTTGGCTTATATGATATTGAGGAGAGGAAATCGAGGAGAGAATTGTTATGAAAAAGAACCTTCTATTAGCTTATAATGATGATTGAACTTCCTCTTCACATTAAATTAGAACTAATAAATCAATTTGTTAAAGCTTTGTGTGCAAATGGGAAGAGGATTTATCTATCTTATCCTCATGTGTTGACATTTCGAAAGCAAAACTCAAAGAAGACATGTTGTCCCCCAAATCAGAGAACTTAAGAGTAGGTAATCTTAACTTTCAAAAATGTCTAATAGAGAAAAAATAAGCCTGGAAATGTTTCCAAAATGTTACAGATAATTTCCCGGGAAAATTGCAGATTTATTACTCCTGACTATAAAACAACAGCTAAAGGGCGGTTAAATTCTTATCAAGATTTAAGGTGCAATGTGTCCCTGAAGGTTCATTTTTTACATTTACATAGCTTCTTCCCAGATAACTATGATTCAGAGAAATGTGGTGAGGGTATCCATAAAGATATGAAGATCACTGATAAATAATATGAAGGGAAGTGGATTCCAACAATGTTGGCTGATTTTTGATGGAACCTAATGGGACGTAGCTCAGCTATTTATTTAAAACAAAAATGTTGACTGTTTGTATAGTTTTCTCATTTTCACTGTCTTTTAAAATGGATTGGAAAACTGTTGTTCAATATTTTCTTCTTTTTGCTGTTCTGTTTATATGATGGTAAAAGGTTAAGATTACTTTAATTGCCATGATACACTAATAAAATTAAAAGTAACATAAACATTATTATATCTAGCCTCTTATAAAGTGAATAAATGTAAGTACAAATTCACAAATAAAAAAATAAATGACTCGAGAGCTATCTCTTTTTGAGAAATCCGAAAATAGTTCTCATTTCAGCTTAGAAATATTCTCAGAATCAGAAGAAAAAAAAAAAAAAAAAAAAAAAAAAAAAAAAAAAAAAAAAAAAAAAAAAAAAAAAAAAAGAGAGAGAGAGAGAGAGAGAGAGAGAGAGAGAGAGAGAGAGAGAGAAGAAAAGAAAAAGAAAGATAAGAAGGAAAAATGTAACACAGTGTTATTGTTTGATATTTGATATTATTCAATGATTATTTGTGTAGGGTATTTCAAAGAAATAAAAAATACATAATTTAAACTTATAATTTTACAGAACAAGGATGAAGAATCTCTTAAAAATAGTGAATTGATTAAAGAAGAGGTAATCCATTATACTAAATCCTTTATCTTTCAATAAATTTAAACATATTTTCCTGTTATAAATAATTGAATATACATAGCTTAAAGATGAATGTTAACCATCGTCCTGTACATATAAAGTAAATGGAGGAATGTTAATTTTAGTTGTCACAGCATGCTATAGTATGTTTTGTTCACTTGGTGTCCTTTTGAATTATAACTGATAGGAATTACTCTTGAGAAAAACACAAAAATATCATTTATTATGTTCACTCTTTATTCCTGAGAATAAAAGAAAATGGTTGTCGCTAAACCAAATGTAAATATGAATTAGAATATTATTGTTCCTTTAAACTGTAAAATTTAATAAGAGATAGTATTTTTAAAAGAATTCATGAACAATTCTTACCTTGAGAGGTAATTGGGAATTATTATTAGAGGAATTAAAAATTTCAGCTGAGAAAATTGGAATAGAGAAGGAAATTTGTGGTGGAAAAGAAAGTAATATATATATTTTTTTTATTTACCAATTTTCAATCATATGCATTGGCAATTGACCAAGTGTCTTTTGCAATTACACTTACAATCTTTTTAAACTCCAATTCTTCAAATTACAACACATCATTCTTTCAACCTATCATATCAGAAAAACAAAAGAAAAAGAAAAAAAAGCGTAAGAAGAGAAGAAAAGAAAAAAAGAGAGAAAAAATACGGAATACTAGATATAAATCATAGATATGGGAAGGTGTAGTGGAATCATTAAGTCAAAGTGTGAAATGAAAAGCAAGTGCTATTGAACACACATTTTAATGTGTTAGCAGCAGCACATCTGGTCTTTGGCCACACATTGCTAGTTCGCTACATGGAACCAAGTGACTAAATGTCAGTACAGTATAGAAGACACCGTCAAAAATATTAACAAAAATTATGTCTAGTTAAAAATTAAAATCTGTCTCATTCAATTTGTCATCATCCATTTGTACAATGTGACTAATTATCAGTCAGAATAATGTAAGCAGCATCACAAACCTAAGCATTCTGTGAGGAATTCAAATTATTGTGAGATTTCATCATAGTTTCTCAAACTTCTCCTTGTATTTGCATTGAACTATTTTATAAATAAAAACCAAGAAGATACTACTTTACCACTTTATCTCTGATATTAAAACAATAAAAAGTATGTTATCTTGCTAATCAGTCTTATCCACGGCACTTCCCCGCCACTCTAGCAAACCATTATGTTGCTTTCCAGCCTTATCAAGGCTTTTGAAGTACTCATAAAAACATAAAAGTGGAGGAAATTGGTATTTCTGCATGTTAATGTTAGTTTTTGTGGATGAAAAATTAAAAAAATAAACACAAAATATCTTCATTTGTTCTTTTGTCACGATTAAACAAATTTACATCAAGAAAATTAAACACAAAGATATTTTAAATATAAATTCAAATTTACATCAAATTTACAAATTGTGCAAATGAATTCATGACACTATACATTTCCAGAACTTTGAAGAAAAATCAATCATAGTGAAAAAATTTCAAATCTTCATTAATACATATGCTACATCTTACTACTTTAAAAAGATTTTGCTTTAATTAAATAAACAAGAAGATGAGAAAAGGTAACAAAAAGTTTGACATCCACTGCATTGGACTGCAAAGAAAAGTTTGTCGGCACAAGATCAATCTCAAGATGAAGTAGTTTTACAATTGCACTTCACTTGATAAATATAACTCATGGCATTTGTTTTTCAAAATTCATTTTTGAATTTGAGGATTTGAGAAACAATGATTTATGCAACTTGTATAAAATTTCAACACTCTTATAATACGATCACACACAAGCAAACATACTGAACCATTTGCACATATACATTACGTATCTTATATACATTAATGAAATGAGAGAACGAACATAACAATTATGAAACCAATAGAGACATTTAAGAGTCTTTTCAATGTTACATGAGAGAAAAATTAAGAAAAATAACAAAAACAATTTTTTAATACTAAAATTAATATAGTTCTTTTGGGTTGCTTTCAGTTGTGTTGAGTATATATATTCTTTTATATATATATATAATACAATTTGCAATGTGTTACAATATGTTTCTATTTGGCACATTCAAATTTTATCCATGTATGAAACTCTTCTTTGAAAGTGGGTCTGTCCTTCATGAAAATGTTTCCACTATTTTTTCGACCCATGTTGCACATAGTTAAGATGCACATCCAAATACAATGCAGCTCCCATAGTCAAAACATTTCAAGCATCTACTTTTACCAAGGTGTAAATGGTCCTAACTATAGCACTTCATTCCTTGCAAACTTCCCCAAAGTTTTGAATAATTTATTGTTAATTTTTATATCATTAACCAATGTTTTGGAAGATCGCTTAATTTCTTTCTGAATTGAGATGTCAATACATTTTTGAAAATAAATTAAATGGTTACTTTTTCTAAATAACAATTAAAAGCAAAGAATTTAGACATTATAGTGAGCAACTATAAATCCATAGAAACATTCAAATGGAAGAAATCAAAGAAAAAGATAATACGTGTGATAATTTTTCATCATGTAATCCCTAAGAACAATGAATAATATAGCTCCAAATTGGCTCTTAATCTTTATTATTCACACATTACCAAGGCATAGAAATATAGAGACCTTAAGATGATGTCCCATTATACATCACCTCAAAAATTCATTAAATAATAGTTATAGGCACTACATAATTTAAAAGATATTAACCTTTACAATAGAATATTACAACAAAATTACGCACGGTAAGAGAAATCAATGACAGAAGCCATGTTTTTTCTTAAATTCTTCTAATAATTGATTTGTAATTTCACTGTCATGTCTTACAGTTGAGTAGAATTCTGTTTAGAATAACTAAATTGCTTAAATTCTCCCTTTCCAAGCTAAATTTCAATTCTTGATTATGCAAGATTTTCATGAGCTAGCCATCATAGTGCTAAGAAACCATTTGCTTTTAATCTTTCATTCAGAATTATCTGGCTTTATTATAATTTCATTTTATGAAAGTTGTCATTGAGAAATGAAGTATCATTTACATTTTATTACTTTTCACAGAGCAGTATTTTTTTCAGGAATTTCATCCTCAAAAATATTTCATGATTTTATACTTTAAATTCCTATCTATGTGCAAATTTTCAATGGTGACTTCATCTCTCATGGTATCATACACATGTAGTGTACTAGTCTGTCTAAAAGCTTTTGTGGGGAGCATACACAGTATTTGATCTATAAAGAGAGATGCAACACCTTTCAGAGGATAGACATGTGAGACCAAAACCCTTTACACACATTGAACTGTCACCATGAACAGCATGGATCAGTAGTGAATATATGATGAGTACACACATGGCAAGGGTCTTCCCAGGTACCTTGGTGCTTGTGGACATACAGTTGGCAACCCTGCATAAATGGGAGCTCAGACGGATACGAAGCCTCAGGTTATGATGCTTTGGAGGCTTCTGTGAGAGCTTAACGCAAAATGAGTGGACATGGAAGAGACACAAGCAAATAGCTCTCCCAAATGCTGGAATATTGCCAGAATACCTCAACACAGTACGGACACCTATGGCAGTGTTTCTCAAACTGTGTCCTTTGGGGTTGCACATGATGAATAGTGCAAAGGTGGCATACTGTACAGGACAGTCAAATAAATGCATAGTGTTATGAAACCTTTCCAAGTAAAACTGATTTCCTTGTATATACGCATTATATTATTTTATTCTTTGATGAAATATTACAAATATTTTATATTCCACTGATGATGTAATTTGCTATTTCATTTGCTTTTCAAAATAATATAAATTGTCTATTTTAATGTTAATTTTCAATCTTAAGCTCTCCCTTACTGTACATTTCATTGATAAAAAAGTAATGTTTTAGAGAGTAGTGCACAGAAAAGTTGGTCAGATTGCTGAAAAAGTGATGAGGATTGTGCAGTGGTTTCTCTCTTCATAAAAGAAGAGTACAGTGAACATAAGTTTGAGAAACACTGACCTATAAGACAATAATGACGAATGTACATATATTCCCTGTGGCAGCACATGGACATACATGAAGTACAAACTGTTCCTCTGCTGATCTTGCACATGCAAAATTATCTCAGTGGTTCTACACATACAAAAGTCTGTATCCATGTTACATAAATATCTAATATTTACCAATACCAAACACATATACTGCAAAAGACTCTGGGACTTGGGAGTTGTGTGAAGAAAATAGACAAGCTCCTCTTTATAGCTCTCATGAGCTGTCACCAATTCACTGCCAGCATATATACATGAGACCGAGTTCCATTAGTAGCTGCGTGGTCTGCCTCTGACTACTCCAATCCAAGGAAAAAATACTAACACTTGTTTACATCTTTTTCGCATTCGCGTCTTTTCCCAACTCATGTCTGAACAGGGAACGACAACCTCTAAACAGAAGGAAACTTTTGATTTTGAACATTTCATGGGAGAAAGTGTTTTGAACGTTGGTCGATTTTGTACATGGGATTCCCTTTCCTTCAAATCCATCAGTGCCAATGCATTTAATATTGTATTAAGGAAACATTAAGCAGACTCCACTGAATCATATTCCCAACAACTTCCGAAGACGCAAGTACCGCCAAGCAGACCGAGCAGCGCGTAACGGAACGCGCGTGTGAAAACTCCAATCGCAGTAGTTCTCCGCAGGAACCCCTAACACCCAACGTCGCACCTTGGCACGCTTCGCTGTCCGCGGTCCGCGGTTCGCGTCCCGCGCCAGAGCCCCGCCCGCCCCGCCCCTCGCGGTGCGGGGTGGAGGGTGGGGGGTGGGGGTGAGGAATGGCGGGCGCCTGGAGGAGTCCGCGGGGCGCGGAGGCGGAAGTGGAGGCATGCGCCGGGCGCAACGTTCATGGAGCCCCCGATGCTCGTCGCACTGGCGGACGCCTCCGCACGCGTACGCGGGAAGGGGCGGAGTTGAGCGTGCCGGGGCGGGAGGCGGAGGGCGGGGGCGGGGGCGGGGCGCATGGAGCCCGGGAGACGCGGCCGCCCACTGCGCGCCTCGGTGCCAGCCGCAGCGCTCACCCACCGCTCGGGCGTCACGCTCCACACCGATATTTAGGCCAGGCAAAGAATCATTCTAAAAAGAAATCAATATATCTAGGTAATTTTGAACAAATCTATTTAGGTCAGTACTGAGCAAATGTGAAGTGTGTAATTTTTTGACACAATATATCGATTTTCACTTTTCATATAAGGATTAATACAAAGTGTGCTCATTACACCAATACTCTGTATGTAAAAGTAATATAATTAACGACGATGTGTGAAATTTATAATTTGGATTGATCTTGCTTGCGAAAGAGCAATGAACTCAGTTCGATAACGCCGAAGAAAAATATGACTCTTTTGGTGTCGTCTTTGAATGACGAAATCGCCTTCCTGGAGGCGAGGTAGCCAGTCGCGTCATGCCCAGGCCCGGGGGTGAGCCAACGCGCGTCGAGGCCGTGCCGCCCGCTCCCGCAAGCGGTCCCGAGCCCGCCCTCCGCCCGTCCGCGTGCGCACGCGCGCGCGAGCGAGCGCGTGCGTGCGTCCTTCCTTCCGTCGTTTATCCGTTCACAAGCGTTCTCCTTCCCCCTCCCTCCTTACTCACACCGAGATGTCGGCGTCGGCGATTAGGCGCCGCGACGCCGCGGCGGCCGCCTCCGTCACGGTGAAGGGGCGGCCGGCGGCGTCGTCGTCCGTGGGCGCCGCGGGGCGCGCGCGCGTCGGGGTCATGCTCACGTTCACGTACGCCAAGGGCCCCTTGGCCAGCGACGCCGCGTCCAGCGCCAGTGGCATGGGCATCGGCGATTTGAAGGCTGCGGGCGGTGCCAGCGGCGGCACGTTCGCCACGCTCGACGACTTGTTGTTGTTGTGATTGGAGCTGTTGTTGTTGTTGTTGTTATTGTTGTTGTTGTGGTTACGGCCGGGGGACGCTCCAGCGGCGGCGGCGGCTGCCGCAGCCGCGACCGCGGCCTGGATGCAGAGGTCGGCGACAGAGTCGTCGCCCTCGGCGGCGGGAAGAGAGGCGGGGGCGGGGGCGGGGGCCAGCGCAGGGCTGCCGTGGCCGGACGACAGGGCGCCGTCCGCCTCCAGCAGCGGCTGCGTGGAGCGCGACTCGGGCAGCACGAAGCTCGTCTCCCAGTCGTCGGAGCCGCCCAGCAGCTGCGCACGCGCCGTGCGCCCCGCGCGCTCAGCCCCGAGTCGAGCTGCGCGCAGCGCCGGCCGCGCGGCCTCGACCCGGCGCGGTGGGGCTGGCGGGGCGGGGCGGGGTCGCGCCATGCGGGGGAAGTCGCTACGCGGGACGCCTTCGTCTCGGCTTCCCTTTGGTCTTGTGGCATCAGAGCGCATGGACCCCACCAAATGCGGAGGAAAGGCGATGAGAGACTACTTGGCGTTGATGTCAAATGCCTCTTGTAACGTGCATACTGCAACAACGCTCTTTTGGCCACAGTTCGAAATCTAACCGGCAAAAAAATACTGCTTAACCTTCTGGTATATTAATTCATTAGTCCTCTCAAGTACCACTTTCTTCATTATAATAACAATCAGGAGGTTATAGGATAATTCATCACAATCTTAGTTATAATTTCGTGAGATATCATTGTTATATTTCCCCTTGTTCGTTTACGACAGGACTGCACAGCATTCTGCACTTTGACTGACCTCGGGAGCCGCGCGCGAGCAACTTGAGTGCAAACCCGAACCGCTTGGATGGGTAGGGTTAAGACTCGTTCTAAAAGTGGGTAATGCCAATTATTATGCGCAATTCGAACCTCAGCGCGTTAGTTGAAAGAGCAATTGCGATAATTGACGGTGTTTGGAAATATTAGTTGTCAATTTATGACAATGTTCAGAATGAACCTAAAACTCATTTTTAATATACAAATTATATTTCATTTGAATACCATAAGTATTATAATTACTTGTAGGGCAGAAAATATAATTCGCTTTGCTACGATGTAATCGCAAATTTAACGGGCTCATAAATACAAAATTGTAATAATGAATCTTTTTTGTTTGATGATGACAGTAATGAATTATTTTTTCATTAACTTTGTTTCATTGAATGAGACGGTTCTATTAAATCTAAAAAAAATATTCTTAATAAATCATTATTAATTTCTGCTCTAATTCGTTAATTTCCAACAGGAGTAATTATATATTTAAAATTTCAAATATATTAACATTATTTATTTACAAGCATTTACAAAATCGTATAAAAAAGATTAGTCCTTTCCGTTCTATTTAACAATACTCAAAATAATTTCCTGCTTGCCCATAAAATATTGTAAAAGAGGTTTGCTCATTGGTACCTCTTATTCAGCTTCATAACGAGAGAAAATGGTCGCAAATATGCGCTGCCAAACATTTACCTTTTTGGAATTGCATGCATTTCATTTTCATATTAATTTTCTTCGTTGTTATCATTTAAAGATTAAAACATTGTAGGTGAAAAATTAATTATTAAATTGTAAATTTTTGTTAGTTATAATTACATAATACATTTTTAAAAGAAACAACTGCTTTAAAATATTTTTATGGGTTACAATGAGCATAAAAGAAATATACGTATAGCGTAGAAGAACATAAAAAGTGAAATATGGCCTTTGTATCTAGAATAATGCGGTAGACTGTCCATTTAAATAAGTGGGCAAATAATATAGCATGGATCATTGCATTAGACGCCCAAGCATTTAATCTACGCGCCGGGTCGGCCCCGCTCCATTTTCTCTCCTTCCCGCAAAGCTGCCTTCTCCCCAGCACTTGCATTTTCGGGGTGGTCACGGGAAGACATCTGGCTTGTAAGTGCAGAATGCCAAAGCGGGAGCAGGAATTGTGCAGGCCTGGTTTTCGATAATGACTAAACAAATTCTAATATCATGTTCCCATTTTCGATTCAATGCTTTCTCCTTTTCATTAAACTTAACATTTTCATTCTTAGCAGACACAGAAACAATGGAAACGTTTTTTTACGTGTATGAAATTTCAGTCCTAGAATTCCCTTTATTATCTATAATCGAGTATAAAATATTGTCAACAAATTTCCATCGCAAATGAATCACCAAAGCAAACTATTCAGAAGAAACAACATAGACAAAAATATAAAAAAAATTATAACGCGTTTAAAATATGGGAAAGAAATATACCGGAAAATGAAATTATACTAGAAAGTTATTAGTTTAATGTTTTGCAGATCATCCTCTCGGGCAAAATGACAAAATTACAAACTTTTTTCACAATACTGATCTTGAGTGAGGTTCGCTCATACACCGTCCATTAAGGGTTCACACATCGGAAACAAACATGAACAAGTTCTGCATTAAGACATACATGTAATAGGGTTTATAGATTTACGAGTACATCATATATACGTTGCTCGTGCCAATATGTTTTTTTCAACAGTAACGACGTGTTACCCTTACACTTTGAACTCCACGTCCCACCGGTACACAATTTGTTCTAGGTAGCATGCGTATCAATCAATCATCGCCAATCCTCGGTGAATTCAAATGGCCTCTGCATTAAATCCCGCTGTGTTCCCCCTAGTGAAATCATGAGGACAGATGGTTTTTGAAGGCAGAACGTCTCAATTAAAAATTAAGTGACGAGATGCGGCCGAGACTACACACAGGCAGCCTTGCTCACAACATACAGAAGCTTATACTGACTGCTCTTTTGAAAAGCCACCATTCTACGCAATGTTTTCTACACATGTAGCGAGATATAGAAGCCGATCCGTGGCGAAGCAACAAATAGCTGAGAAGATCCGTTTTCGGAGGTCGCCGAAAGGCGGTGTGCAAGGAAGTGTGGGCGAAGGTCTGTCTTCAGTGGAGCTCTTCGCTCCATGAGTAATCGGGTTAGGAAAAAATTCGTTACACTGTCTAGCAAGTGGATAAAACACTTATTTTCGGTTACAGTGTACACCGCGTCCACACCAAGTTTTTCTCATGTCTTTAGAACGAGAAACTTTGTTAAAAGCCTTCTTATCTGACGGCGTTGCTTCCATTCTAATGTTCATGCTAGCTGTTTGTTTTTTTTTCGGTTAAGATTGTTCACATGCTTTCGTGCAATATGATGGGGAAGGGTTGAATACATCACTGGTATTCGTGTGGGGGAAATGAGAAAACCGTGAGGCAAACACACCACTGACTCTGTAACGCTGCAAACCGTCATTACTTTTCAGCATTGAGCTATAATGCAAGACGCTCCGCCCGCAACTCAGCACCGTCCTTCCGCTCCGTTGGACCACGACCCATTTCGCGCATCGCAGCGGGAACGCAACACGCCACACAGGTGCCACACAGGTGTCACAGACAGAAGATAGCAAGAGCGCCGCAACACAACATGAAACGAAAGCGAAGTGAAGCTCGTTTGTTTGGCTCCTATGCATGCTCTTGGCTCATGCTACTCGGAAAAAGCCACACGAGAATCAAACACATTCCATCTACTAACCAGAAATCCAACAGCTAATAACTGAAGATTGTTCGAATCTCGACAGATCAATGCATAATTTAAAACAAAATATAAAAAATCCACGTTAAATGAATTATTTCTCACGAATATTTGCAATGCAAAAAGTTCGTATGAAATCCACGGTGAATATGCCTAAAGGTATGCAACCCATTCATCACAAGGATGATCTAAGAACGTAAATATTATTTTATAGGATTCGGCTGTTATACGTTTTGACAACGGCATTAAGTATCTTTTCATTTACATTTCTACAATAATTACAAATGAATAGTTACGAGACACAGGATCATTCAAAAAGCCCTTGTGATGGATCACATATTTTCAAGCAAGTCAATTATTTCCCAATCCATTCAACGTGCAAAAATTTGGAGAAACATGATTCGGTGTGCGTGAATTTTGCAAGGCCTGTGTAAATCTTATCGAGATTTGAGACTGAAAACTCAATAGTTCTCAATCTGCAAAAATGTGAAATGATTGCAAAAACTGAGAGGTGCAAATGACACTGAAACAAAAGCTTGGGAAACGGTCAGCTGCAGCACTTGGCGCGCCCAACTGCCGTGAAACATTGCGTCCTTCCCGCTGCGTTGCGCTACAAACGTGGCACAAAGCAATGCGCGTGAGGTGCACGCATGTTGTACGCACGGTCAAGCAAATTTGGCATGCATGCAAAAGTGTAGTGGCAAGTCGTGAGAATCCCAAGTGACGTGGACATGGCGCGGGGTGAGCTTTAGAGGGTGGAGGGAGCGCCAACGGATAACCGTCACTTGGAGTTCTCACAAGCTGTGTTCAACAAGCTTCACCGAGTTCTGAGTGTCTTATCGCGCTGCTGTCTGAATCAAAAAAGTTTTAATTTCGTTTCCCAATTTAATTTATGAATTGAATCAGCATGGGGAGAAGGGGAACAAGTCAAAAATGATTTTTTTAATATTGAAGGTTTTTAATATTGAAGAAATTTTAAGGTAAGATAAATTGTACTGTGAAGAAAGGAATCACGTCATAACAGTGATTAGGCTGTCATAGTGAATTCACACAGAAAAATTGGACAGGATAATATAATATTATTTTTTGTTTCCTTCCTCCTGAAAAGTTGCAAGAAATGACTTGTTCCCTTTTTACTCAGCCCAATTTAATTGTATTTTTTGTTTCATAATTTCCTCACTCTGAAGAGCAACCGTATATTGCAAAATGCACCATTGGATATTTTCTGCCGTGCAAACCGGCGGCGGCACGCAGTAAACACCCTTTTTTCACTCTAATTATTGTATTTTCTCATCAGAAGATCGGGCCCCAAACTATTAATAGCATTGATTAAAATTTTGTTATGTGTAAAAAATATTTAAGTCAGTTCGGTTCCATGAAAATTTCATTTTGAAATTACGCATTGGAAATAGGCAGAGCCAGATTTGCAGTTCTGATGAGACTATATTTGTGAGGACCCAAAAGGTAATATTTTTTCCTAATTTAAATAAGTTGAAAATAGAATTCAGTTTCACAAAAGTTTATAACATGTACTATTTTTCATAAATATGAATTGGTGGTATTAACTCATTTTATTAATACTTTTTAAATATTTACTTAAGTTTAAGATTTCTTAACTGGTGGTTTGGCAAGAGGTACCATCCAACAAAAATGCGTTCACCTAACATTTGTTGAACAAAAATAGCAAGGGGTAAACGTAATACGAACCAAATACGTAAATCCAGACCCATGAATGTTCGAATTTTGTTCCAAAAATCATCGCCAAAAAAAAAAAAAAAACAACAACAACAACAAAAAACAACTATATCTGGAACGCGAGACAGCCAACTTTCCTCTGAGTAATTTTGCAAGGAGGCCTTTCCTCGCCTGACGCTGGGCCCGGAGCGAACCCGTGACCTTCGACCTTTTCATCTGGGGCGCAGGCGATGCCGCCGCTCGATTATCGATCGTGCTCGCGACCCGCTCGCCAGGGCACTCAGAACCGGGTGAAGCCTCTCTCTCGCTCGCACTCTCTTTCTCTCTCCCTCTGGTAGGCTGCGTAGCACCGGGAGCGGGTGGGCGGGAGGGGTAGAAGGAGGAGGGGGCGGGAGGGAGCGTCGGCGGCTGGGTACGTACAGCGGCGCTCGTCACTGGCCATCCAATCTCGAGACATGCACGAGCGACGGGACGGGACGGGCCGTCAGAGCAGCGAGTCTCGGACGACGCATTTGCAGACGCGGATGGCCCGGCGCCGCGGCGCCGCGCCGAGTACCTTGTCGACGCTGCTGGCGGAGGGCGAGGCGGGCAGACGGTCGGCGGCGCCGGGGCTGCCGCCGGGGCACGCGCACGTCGTCGACGACGCGGGCGACGACGCGCCCGCGGACGCCGCGCCAGACGCCGACGCCGACGCCGAGGCCGAGGCCGGCGCGGGCAGCGGCACCAGGTAGTCGGCCGCGGCGCGCTGCACGCGCAGGCACTCCGTGTCGCTGTCCGGCGGCCGCATGATGGTGGCGTCGCGTTCCGTCGACGGCGGCCGGTTGAAGGTGGGCAGCGGCGCGTTCACCACGTCGGGGTCCTGTGGGCCATTGCACAGAACTAGCGTCACTGTCAAGCGGTGTAGCATGCACCACACTAGCAGCTGGTGGGAGATATCTGATTGAGGGGAAACATCCCGCGAGACGACGTGTAGGTCTGCGCCGGAACCTGCCATCCAGCTAGGAAAGACCACCGCCACCTGCCGCGATAAAAATGCACTACACTTACGGAACTAATGACCTTATTAGTTGACGTTCCCGGAATCACTAAACAATCAATCAAGATGTGTAGACTACTGCGCGGGGGTGCAGCTAGGTTGCAGTGACCAGTGTGCGGCAGCGGGGCCTCGAAGTCAAGGACCTTGAATGAGGGCACCCGCCGATCCCCAATAAAGATAGCAATGGAAACCCCATTTGAACCCTACTCACCGCGGCTCCCGAGACGTAGCTTCGCCTCTGCTTCCACGGTAGAAGTCAATAAATTCTTCGTTGTCCAGGAGTCGCGGCGTACTAGACATGGTTAACAATGTTTTATTCGTCATATTGCGACCTTCTTCAGGGCAAAACGAACAAGAAGGGGGTGTGACGAGCGAAACCTTGGTTACCATACTTAGGATGCGGGATTTCCCGCAAAGACAAGAAGCCAGTCATCTGAGTGGTTAATTAGCCGACCGGGTATCTGAGGTCGCAGGAGTGGGAGCGCCCAAACGTCCTCGGTTCAAACCACATGAGCTGGGAATTTTTGACTATATAGGCTGTTACGTTCTACTCGGCCGAGTTAACACGAGCGTGTATTATCTGCAAGTGACTGTCACGAACGAAACCAGCAATGTAGTGTTTTTTTCCCTTGGGAATACGAACCCGTTGCGAGTACGGTCCACTGCAAGGTTGATAGAGACGTGCCTTCACACACACAAAACACACTCGCGCCTGAACAAATGCTAAAAATTGATGGATATTCATTGAGTGATGTAATTAAATAATAATTGAAAATAATGATTAATTAACCTCCATGGAAAATCCTTAATGTGTCATGTCAAGCAAATAAACCCTCAATATGTCCGTAAAAAATTGAAACCTCCCACTGTTCTAATCTAATCCCATTATTGTTTAGCCAGAGAACAACGAAAGTAACAGAAAACTTTGACTAACAAGGGAGTGTTCAGAGAAATAAAATTACTCTTGATATCTCTTGATCACTCTTGATTACTCTTGATAATAATGAATCAAATATTTGAGGGAAGTTCTAAGTACTGGGGCCGAAAAAATCTACTTTATTCAAATACAAAAGATGAAAAACGCAAGTTCGTAAGCTGACGGAATTGGGGCGAATCGCGCCCGATTTTATGACGTCGGGACCTTCGCTCGCCACCCGCCCATCAGATATTGCAGTGCACTCGCTGTTCACATACGACACTAATGACTTCAAAGTCTACATCAGCGCTTTGAGTCTTGAAAATGCCAATAAAGTTCTGGTCTGCGAAGTAATTGAAAAATTACAACAACAACAAGAAGGAACTTCTACGGTAATCTCTGCTGCTGCGGTCAAAACGGATTATTTATTGCTTATATGCTTAACATGAATGCTTATATGCTTAACATTAAGCATGAGCAACATGCTTACGTGCTTTTATCTAAAAAACATTACTCTGTATAAATGATACGGAAGTCAAAATAAGGATTAAACATTAAAGTTAAAACAAACATTCGTCATCCTGTAACACGGCTCATAATTCTCTCATCCACCACACGAAAGAATTCTATTGATTATAATACATTTTTTCAGCGTGAAATAAAATGGGATTTTTCTCAAAGTAACGTTTTTAATATCAATGGTTCGTAACGCCTTTGTGGTCTTGCATACTGGCAATAATGAGTGACTAATCTGAAAACAGAAAAGTTTGAAAGCGTAGATGAATGTGTGCATTAAATCGGCGCACTTGCCTCTTCCCTAGCTGAGAAGAACCCAGCGTGTATATCAAGAAGATAGTCACCATGAGACGATATGTTTTGACAATCGCTTCGCGACCATTTTCACGAGTGCAGCGGCCCGGCGAGGCTGACCTGCATGCAGTAGCCGAGGCGTTCCATGATGGTGGAGAAGGATGGCCGCTCGTCGGGGTTGGGGTGCCAGCACTGCGTCATGACGCCGTACAGTGGCCCGGGGCAGTTGCTGGGAGGCTCCAGGCGGCCGCCGCTCGTCACCAGCTGCATCACCTCGCGGTTGGTGCAGCCCGTGTACGGCATGAAGCCCAGCGACATGATCTCCCACAGCAACACGCCAAACGACCTGCGGGACAGGGAGGAGAGATTAAGGCTGCCCTCGGAAAACAAGATGCCAAGGGCAGTGGATAAACGAAGGCCCCGATTTTCAAAGTCAAAGTGCCCGCCCGCAATTCATAAACAGAATCAGTTTTTCCATGCAACAGAAATCAAATTTGGCGGTTAATTAGAATTGTAGAAAATATTAAAAGAAAAGACATTTATTATCTGTTTGAAATGAAAAAAGATAGTTGAATTAATGATAAAATTAAGATAGGGCGTGAAGGAAGGAGCCCCAAGCTGCCCTCCCTACTGGGCGCCCCTGGGAATGCGGGCAATGGAGACTGGGCGACTGGAAGTGCTTGAGGATGAGGCTGCTTCAGTGGTCATAAATGGCATTGCTCCCTCTAAAAACAGTTTTGAAAAAACAGCGTAGCTTCACCAAACCAAATGAATAGACAGACGCATCAAGGGCAGAAACTTTTCGAAATGGCAATCTCCAAGCATAGTTATCTTTATAGACCTACATACATTTATTTGAACTGCAATTGGGTATGACCTGGTGGCAATTAATTACTAAGGAGATGCTGGCGCATTATTATTATTATTATTATTATTATTATTATTATTATTATTATTATTATTATTATTTTACAAAATCTTTAATTATTTCTTATAAAATTAGATCCATTTCGTGATTTTTGAGGAGGATACGATGAAAGATACATTAGTATGCTTGTATCATGATTTTAAAATAGAATGGTTAGAATTTTTTTGATAATACTTTCTCTTTACGGTTGATTCAAAAGCCCAGCTCCCTGACAATTGTTTATATTATAAATTAATTTAGTTTTTAAATTTTTATTATTTTGGGAACAAGAAAGTGTATTTAATATATTGCAATTCTGTTAAATAAATAAATAATTTATTTTTGTTTTGCCACCCACTTCCCCTTGAATCAAGCTTGAACCATGCATGAAACAAAAAACACCCAGCTACATACACACAAGCTCAGAGACGAACCCCTATGTTCTGAAATGAGTCGGAGAGAGAAAAGACATGTCTAATGGTTGAAGTGGCGTGGTATATGCCCGTGAGGAGGCCCCGCACTTGGGTTTCTCCTTCGGCGGCGGTGATGTGTGAGCAGCTTTTCCCGTCGGGAACTTGAGCCTATGAAGTCAAGAATATCTTTTCTTGAAATACTGACAATACTGATATTACTTTATACATATTCATCTTCTCCTTAGGTATAGAAAGCTTACTAAAAGGATGAATTGCTTAGACTGCTACTGCTTGGATATTGCTGGCAACATAACTGCAGCTTATGTACCCAATATGCACCCAATTCGTCAATGGTTTCGTTTACAGATAGCTCTCTTGAAAATAACTTCATCACTATCTCTTGCAATGCCATCGTCCCAAGGGTCATTCATTTGTTTCCCGACATGTCAAACTGGTCCCTTCTTAGAGTAACTCCTCTATAGATTGTGTTCTTTGAGTTCCCGACGCTACGCCACTCTATTACAATTAGAGGAAGGCGTTAAGAGTAATTCGAGAAGGTGCGTGATGCTTATTAATTGTACTGTCATTAACGAATTGACAAAGTCCATTTAAAAGTAAAACTGTTGTTTTTGTCCTGTCAAGAAAAAAATTTGCTTAATCCTTCACGTTCAGTCAGCTTCCTAAGTATACCACACGTAATATTTGTTTTTTATTACACTGGATCACCAGCTCGCTTACCCACGAAAATAATGAATGATGACATTTTGTACATACTTCTTTTTTGAGCAAACTATTTTTTGCAGAAAATCAGTGTTTTATTATAAAATACTTCATAGCATCTCCAAACTAATTTAATATAGTCCTGATAATGTTCGAGATGTTACAATGGAAAATTAAGTACAGTTAAGACGTTTACGCTTTTAGATATGTCATACAGTATTGTGCATTGAAAACTGGTGAAAACAATCATTATATTACTTAAGTATTATATTATGAATATGTTATAAATATGACATCCATGCGACATAGTACACAAGAGTTCTTGAACATAAAACATATACAAGGATATCTTGAGATAGTTATATATTCAATTTTTAAAGTGAACTTTTATTTGAGCTTTGATAAAAAACACTTTAGATTTTCTCATATTGAGGGAACCTTTTATTACAAGTTTTCATCGAGCGAAACGTTTTGTATCCAAAGTACTTCCATCGTAAATTATGACTGCCGAAACATCTGCACTAAACTTAAAAAACCTACGCTAAAAAGAAACAACTGCCAATTCCTGCTTATTACATGATCAGAAACATCAGACAGAAAATAATCACTGTGCATTTAACACAAGATGCAAAGTTTCCAAACCCCGGCCAGATGCCAAACTAACTGAAGGGGTCGGGAGAAGGTAGTGCTAACCCTCATTTCATACATCCAAACCAAAAGTCTTGGAATGTCTCCTAAAAAGAAATGCTGAACAAACGTGTTCATAGAACTACAGTATGTGTGTAGAAAGCAGCCAGAAGAGTATATAGAAAACAACGTCTCAATGAACTACTGAAAAAACTGTTTTTCCTTTGGCTGACAAAAATTAATGACTTGTGGGTTAGTACTCCTCGTATGCGATTCCCGACCTAATCAGATTCTAATTCGCTCAGCCAGGATAAGGACGCAGATGTTTAATACTCGTAAAATGTTATTGTTACATCGGTCCCTCGCGGCTAATAAGTGAGTCAAAAAATAGTTGATAGCTCTGAGAGACAATGTGATGTCAAATTCGAATATTACCAACAATACCAACTTCGTGTCGAGGGTGAGACAAATGGCAAATTTCCAGAGCCCTAGCATTACACAACGATCATGTGGCTGCCAGCGCGGATGACTCACCAGACGTCAGTCTTGGAGGTGAAGATGCCGTCGAGGAACGCCTCCGGGGGCATCCACTTGATGGGCAGCATGGCCTTGCCGCCCTTGCGGTAGTAGTCCGCCCTGCGCATGCACAAACGCCAACGCTCGCCCACTCCCCCGCTTCGCCGCTCGCTTATTATACGCCCATTCAGACTAGACACAGAGGAGCACGCTCAATTGGTAAATGCAGCATTTGGGGGCAACGATTTACTTCGTTGTTTCATGTACCTTTCAGTTGATGTCGGGACTGAAAACAATGTGTAGCTGTTTTGGTATTTGTTGGGAAATGCTTTCAATTTTCTTTGGTAACAAATCTATTTTGAAACAAAAAGGCATTTTGATGAATGCGGTTACATTTCAGCCATTGTTTCAGTCGGACTTTAGATAAAGTTCATATCATTTACAGGAAAGTCCGTTTTTACCATAACGTGTGCTGTTCTCTCTAGTCATCGTGGATTAAACAAAATTTAATTACTCTAGATTAGAAGCCATTGGGGGTTAAAACCGTGGGCATGAAGACTTCAATGCTAGATTATGTGTAAATAATGAGTCTACACTCTAAACCCTTACAATAAAATTAATGAATTAAAATAATATCATTAAATGTTTAATAATTTCATTGTTTTAAGACATTTTTCTCTTGTGGTGAGGATAATAGTAAATGTAAGGGGTTTTACTTTCCATCTTATTTGATCTTCTTTCATTCTAGATCGCTCATGTCAGCGATACGCTTCGTGAAAAGCAACGTAATATCCAGAATAAAACGTGTCGCAGTAAGAGCCCTTCAGACTACTCGACAAAAGCGATTTTTAGCAGCTCATCCAAACCGTTGCACTCCATGGCTGATGACCTTTCTACGACCCGAGAGAGAGAGAGAGAGAGAGAGAGAGAGAGGAGAGGGGAGAGAGGGGGAGAGAGGGGAAGAGAGGGGAGAGAGGGGTGGAGTGGATAGGGAAGAGAGGGGGAGATGGGAGGAGAAGGAGAAGAGGGAGAGGCGAGAGAGAGACGGAGAAAAGAGTCAGACATGCCAACAGAGAGGAGAGAGAGAAGAGAGGAGAGAGAGATGAGAGAGAAGAGAAGAGAGAGAACCTGCCCAAGACAGACACACATACAGGCAAACACTCAGACACCGAGAGATGGATAGATTCAGAGAAACAGAGAAAGAGATAAAGGGAGTTACTGAATTTTTGTCGTATTTTAAAAACATTGAGAAAAATGATATTTCTATTCGGAAAATCATTTATTGTAACATTCACTTGCAAAAGGACATAATTTTATTTTCCAAAATATTTAGTGATTTGTTTGAGAAAGAGACATATTACTTAGTTTCGTAATTTATTTTTAATAGGCTTTATACTCAAGAGCATATTTTTCCTTTCAGTATTTCTTCTTAGATTTATCCGGAGATATCTCAAATTAATTTATTTGTGTTAGTCTAATATCCTTTATAAAATATAGTATATTTTGAAAACTCCGAGACGGTCCTCCATATAGTTCTGAAGAGCCCCCACTGGCATAGGCTCTTTATTGCTGGGCAAGGAAGTGAGCCGTGGTGTGAGTGGGCGAGGGGTACTCACCTGTAAATGTCGCGCGCCATGCCGAAGTCGGCGATCTTGACGACGCGGCCGGGCCCCTTGGTGGTGAGCAGGCAGTTGCGCGCCGCGATGTCCCGGTGGATGAAGCGGTTGTTCTCCATGTAGTCACAGCCCTTGGCCACGTCGATGGCACAGCGCAGCAGGTCGCGCATGGTGAGGGGCGATGGGCGCTCCTGCGAAACCAAAGGGCCCCAGTCCCTTCATCTTGCGCCCTGCCCCCGCACGACGCCCCCACACCCGTGTCGCTGTACCCTGTCCCTGCGCCCCATGCCTGCTCCCCCACCCCCGGCCTCGGCTCTCCAACCCCGCGACCCTTCGCTGTGCCCTCCACCTGCGCTACCACCCTGCGCCCGACCCCGCACTCCGCCCCAGCGTCCCCTCCCCCTCGCGCCCGCTCCCGCGCCCCTACACAATCCTCACACCTTACCCCCCGGGCGCGCCTTACCGCCGGGCACCGCCCCCGGCGCCCGGCTCTATGCCCGAGTGCTTTTCGACAAACAGTTGAAACAGTTGGATAAATAGGTGTGTCAAAAAGTGGCACACGTTAAGGTAGTCGGTAGTTCATTTTAATTCGATTAATCCACTCGTGAAATTAACACAACTACACACATGGTATATGCATCTATCAAGACGGTGTATCCCAGAAAATTATCTCTTTTTCTTACCACCTGCCCCCTCACAGACAATCATAAGAAGCGATCACATATCGATCATAAGTAGCGCTGTGGTGTGCTCTTGGAGCGCGAATTGGCCCATTTTGAAACTTTTTAGAAATTTAACTTGGAAAAGAAATTAAAATAAGGCATTGTCCTAAGTATAAACGAGAAAGTTTCAAATACACAAGTTTTGCCTTAATTTTGTATACACGTTTCGAAATGATAAACAGGTAGGGAGACATGTAAAAATCCATAGAAAAATCACCGTTAAACAGCTTCTCATTCCCCCGCCACCATCTCATTCAGCGACCACACCACAGCGACCATTCTCATTCACCAAGAATGTAACGTAGGTCCAAACGAACAACCATGCCAAATTTCCGGTGAATTGGTGCGCGAGTGTGTGCGTGTATACGTCTGTGAGGGCGTGTGCTTGCGTGTGTATGTGTATGTGCATGTGGGCGTTTCTGCGTGTGTGTGCGTGCGCGCGTATTTGTGGGCGGGCGTGGGTGTGTATGTGCGCGCACGAGTAAGCGTGTGTGTGCGTTTCTGCATGTAAGAGTGTGTACTGCCGTGCTTACGTGTGCGTGCGTATACATTGGCGTGTATGTATACGCGCGTGTGCGTCCGCATATTTATGGTGTTTGTGCGCATGTGTGTATGGGTGTGCGTGAGTATGTGCGTGTTCTTATATGTACGCGCACGTGTGAGTGTGTGTGAGTGTGTGTGAGTGTGTGTGAGTGTGTGTGAGTGTGTGTGTGTGTGTGTGTTTGTGTGTGTGTGTGTGTGTGTGTGTGTGTGTGTGTGTGTGTGTGTGTGTGTGTGTGTGTGTATGTGCGCGCGCGCAGTCTACTGCCCGTTTCCGCGCGGCAGGGTCGCCCGTCGAAGGCTCACCGGTTTGGGGCGCGACTCGCGCAGGAAGGTCTTGAGGTCCCCGCCGGCGAGCAGCTCCAGCACGATGAAGCGCGGATGCTTGTCGAAGCACACGCCGATGAAGTGCACGATGTTGGGATGGTTGAACTTGCTCATGATGAGTGCCTCCATCAGGAAGTCCGTCTCCGCCTGATTGGTGGACAGCTCGGGCAGCGTCTTCACGGCCACCGGCATCTCCACGGCGTCGCCCGAGCGGTGGCGGTAGAAGCCCTGGTACACCTCTCCGAAGGCGCCCTGCCCCAGCGCCCTGGACGACCAACGACGCGCGGTTGGGAAATTAGTCATTAATAAGTTAACGGGCAGGGTAGGGCGTCGAAGGACGGAGGGTGCCGGGGTGGGACAGGCCAGCGTGGCGGGAAGACGGACAAGGAAGACGGGCGGGAAGACGTTAGGACAAGACAGGCCAGGTGGATCAGTTTTTTAATGAATAGTCCACAATTTTTCCCACCCACAGCCAAAGACACTGTAATAACTCATATCATGACAAACACTTGGGGTAAATTGCACCATATTTTGAACAAAGAAGCGCATCAGAAACAATATCAATGATTTTCAGCCTTCTAAAAAATTGAAACCAAAAAACAACAAAATGCAAACAATCATTGCTAGGCTTCTGAGGCTGCCCCTGTTGTATTGCGAGGATTAATTTTATTAAATTTCTCATCCGGTCTGAAAGACTGAGCTGGTCCAGAAAATATATAAAAGAATTTACGCATGTCAGATAATCATTAGTAAAAAGCACATGTCATTGTGTGATAAAAAATATAAACAAAGCATAAATTCCATGTATCATTTTTAACAATTTATTCAGTTAATGATTTTTTTGAAGTTTCTAAAAATGTAATAATTAAAATTAAAAACCATTATCTCTATTTAGTTTCTTCTCTCCAATGTCCTCTTTGATTCCTAGTCACTTATTCTATGTCTTCTTTATACTGACATACGCACACATGAGTTCAACTTAAACTTTTCTTTCTTGATTGGGGTGCCCAATATAGCGTGGTGTTACACCCTAAAACTTTCTGCAATAAACATCCCAAACAATTATCCAAACGCCATTGATATCAGCAGAGTAGTTCTGAAATTGTTAATGGCCACAGGAGCTGCAATATTTTTTAAATTTATTATTATGTTTAATGATGATTATGATTACTATATTATAATGATAGCTATATATAACATTGCTGTGAGTATAATTATTAATAGTGAGCAATGATATGGTTGGTTTCTAGTGCATTTCACTGTCCATAGGACAAAACATGGCACAATAAAGACTTGAATTTGAAGTGGATAAATGTTTATGAAAATATTTATGAATAAATTTATTTGAAAATTTTTAGTGTCCGTTTATTTAAAATTCCAGACACCAAATACTTTGTTTTTTTTTCTAACAAGCTGTGAAGTGACATTCCTCCACAATCTTCTAAAACTTTTGTTCAATCTTAATCACTTACCTGATACTTCATTTCTGATGACATACCATTAACATTCTCATTGGTGATGAATGACCAAACACCCTTTAATTTTTATTGATACTAGTGTCAACACCAAAGACACTCCCAGTAGATTTTGGTGAATATTAGGAGAAATACTACATAACAACATGAATACTATAAAACAAAAAATAAAACACTCAAAATCAAATTCACAGACAATAAAGATAATGGAAGATGCTTCTTTTACAAACTTTTCGTGCATGAGGTCAATGGAAAAGTCAAAAGTATGAAGGCAAAATCATTCCAATGAGGTTTATGTATTAATACATTACATAGATGCATACCTACATACATACATTAATACATACAATTACAATGAGGTGCATACATCAATTTCAAATGAAAATGAATGCATCACAAGCAAACATGAAGGTATTTAACACTATACGCCTTTTATGCCTTTTATGCCTTTATTGGTTGTTAATTGATTTGGCATTCCTGACTAAATGAAAAATCAATTTGTAGGCTTAGGAGATGTAGCATTCAATGCAGGGTGTGACTGAGGTAACAGAAAGCACATAAGTGTCTACAAAATTAATATTTAGGTATAAAACTCAATTAGAAAGATTTAATAGAACTGTTTTATTCAGAAGTTAATGCAGCATATTCATTTGACGTATTTATTTGAAATAAATTCAGATATATACAACATCACTATAACTAATTTTATAAAACAGTTTCCTTAATTATTTGATTCTAATACTTCTAATTGCATGCACATTCATTATTTACTTCCAAATCACATTTATCAATCCTTTTGTAATTATTGATTTAATAAATACTCACTTTACTAGACGTAATTGGTCACGAGGTATATCTTTCAGATCATGAACACTGTATGTGCCCCCACCAAATTCATAATTTGGATTATATTCATAATTTATATGTCTTTCTCGAGGTCGAATTCTATTCAGTTGTAGATCTGCTTCACTGAGCACTTGCTGTCGTGGTAGAGACACTTTTTTCCGTTGATAGCGATTGTCTGTGAAGAAAGCAAAAGAAAACCATTGCACTTATATAATTAGACACAACAATTAAGAATACTCCAATAACAAATTTTAGAATGTGAGTATCAAACGTTAATCTTTGGTGCCTTTTGACTTACATCTATACAATCATCTATAAAAAATAAAATTGGAAAGTCTGCATGGAATTTAAAAATGGCTGCCTTTTATAATCATATATGGTTATTTACATGATCTAAAACCCCATTTAATTATTTTTTACAATTTTTTTCTGTCTTTTTAGGCTAATCTTTGTAACGGCTAAATGTATTTTGATGATATTTCCACAAAAAGATGAGTATTTTGAAAGGCATAATTTAGGTTACCTTTTCAGATAATTGTTTTCTCTTCTTTAAATAAGAATTTCTGTTTGTTTTGTATTTTCATAAATCTACAGCTGTATTATGATTTTGAAGAAATTTTGTTATGGCACTGTTTACACCTGTACAATAATCTATAAACAAATAAGGCAATACAAGGAAAGAAACAGAGAGTCAAGATAGTAATAGATGGACAATGAGTGGAACATATAAATAAGTTTTCATACCTAGGAAATATCATAAGTGTATACAACTCAGGAAGACTTAGAGAACAATCTTAATAACTACAATAGAATAGTGGAATAATTAAGAGACACTTCACCAAAGACATGGACCCTAAAACAAAATTGAAATTCCACAATGTAGCTGTTAAACCTAGAATAATGTACAGTTCTGAAACATGGGTAATGAATGAGAGAGACAAATAAAAAGTATAGGCAGCACATATGAGATTTTAAAGACACCTCATGGGAATCGCAAGAAAAGACAGACTGAGAAATAATGACATCAGAAAGAAATTGAAAACCAAAGGTTTAGTACAAGAGATACACAGTCTCAAAGGAGATGGAAATTTCATTTACAGAGAAAGAAGAACAACAGATTGCCAAAATGAATCTGGAAGAACTAACCAAAAGGAATCAGAGATAGAGGCAGACCACTAAAGAGGTGGTAACAGCAGGAACACTAGAAAGACTAATAATCTACCAAGAATACTGTAATAAACCAATAGAAACAGGCTGTAAAGCCTACTCTCTTCTCAGTTCATGATGATGAAACATTTTTGTAGTATATGCGAGCTTCAAAACAAGAGAAAAGTTACTGTCTACATGAAATTTCAAAAAAACCTATTCCTATCTCCCGTTTCTGTTCCTTCATCCAAACTCAGTGTGTGTCCTTTAGTGATTTTTCCCACTCCCTTTCCGAATAGCCAAAAAAGGTGGTCACAATTGTGATTTGGTGGTTGCAATGGTGTTTTTTTTAATTTTAGGAGTAATCCTCCATAAAGTTTAATTTTTGTCAAGTCTCGTCCCATCACAGTCAGTCAGGGCCTTTAATCCCTTTGGTCAGAAGTTCGTAATGCATATGGCTGGGATGAGAGTGTAGGAGAGAGGGCGAAGGAATATCTAGGTATTAACATGCGCATGGCAAATATAGAATTTGTGCCCCTGTCAGGATACTCCAAATCAGAGTGGTAATTTGTTTAAGTAGATATACTCTAAATAGCATCCCTTGTGAGTAGCGTTCATGGCACATGCACTGTCTGCCATACTACCACCTCTGGGGGAGGCCAAGTGAGATAGGTTGATGCGGAACAGGGCACGGTAAGGGGCAGCAAGGTTGAGCTAAGCAAGTGGAACAGAAGCATGAGTTTACAGAGGAGCACCCAGAGAAAACCAGGCACCCAAGGTAGTTGATTCAAACAAAACTCTTATTTCAAACAAAAAATTCTCTCCTCTCGCAATTCAAAAACAGAATTTATTTCTTCATGCAACAGAATAACTTACAGAGTTAAATTTGAATTACAGATAAATACATTCTAATTTCTTTCAAATAAAAAAAATTTGGAGCCCCAATTAAGTCAAAGACTGGGGCAAGTTGCCCCACTTGCCCCCCATCTGAATGCCCCTGAGTTTACGTAGTGTCTAAAGAAATCCCTAGTAGGCCTAGTCCAGGGTTTAGACATTGTGCATGCGGGTTGTCTGCCTCTTAACATAAAAGTTCTAATTGTCATGAAATAAATTGAAGACTAAGACTGTTGAGTTGTTGTGATAATAATAATGAAACAGAGAGAGAAGAAATGAACAACCCACTAATGTATACATCATTAAACATTTTTATCATGAGTTAAACACATTCATCATTATCATATCATATTCATCGTTATTCATACAAAAATATTAATATTCATAATTTCATAAATATAGTCGCCATGTTAATATGCATTACCATTTTCTTCAAAAACCCTGCAGAAAATTTTAGCTACAAAACAGTTTAAAGAATCCATTATGTGGAGTAAGAATGAAAGTGTCTAGTACATATAACTACTATAATACAAATAGTAGGCCTACTTATATTGTGAGAAAGAAAACTTCTAAACCAATAACATGAGAGCATACAATTGAAACTATAAGGTCATCATCAAAATCATGATCATCAATATCTACTAAAGACCAAGCATTATTTCTGCTGTAATAATTTTGTATCTTCAATTTTTTGCACGTCTTGGTAGGAGACCCCTCTCATTTCCTTGACTACTTTCGTGACATCATGGATGTTTTTTTGGATTCATTCAAATGATTTTATCCACAAAAAAGTTATCATGCCTAAGCATGCGCTTAGTGAGTTTTGCTTCATCCTTTTTGATTTCCATTAGTTACCTACCTACATTTGTTTCCTAATTCTTATAGAATATTTTCATTTTCTTCTTGCTTTTACAACAAATTTAAGCAAATTCTTCATACAAAAGTTATCAGTAATTTGTTGTTGTTGCCTATATTCATATACTTTTAACTTTCAGGTATCAACTACTTATGTAGTAAAGAGGAAGTGTTGTAAAGCAGCAGGAAAAGAAAAAAGAAAAAAAGAAGAAGAAAGAAAAAAGAGAAAAGAAAAAAGAAGAAAAAAACAACAACCACAGAACAAATAAATGATTTTTTAGTAGAAAAACCTGTGTTGAGGGCCCCTGATACTGAAAGAGTAAATAATTCTTGCTTCTAAATATAGAGCATTACTTCTATTGAATTATGAAATTAGAATCTATGCTTTATGGGTGATTCATTCTGAAAAATGTGTGTATGTCCAAAACTGTCATTCCTACTTTCTGCAAACACTGCTAGTGGCTAAACCCAAGGTAGGATTTTCTTAAAAATTAATGCTCTCTAATTGATCTGGGTTCTCAAATCCACTTGATTTAGAAAAGGATATTTTTACTTTTGTGGGCTCCTTGGATACAGCCTCAATTTTCACAATTTTCTCAAATAGGTCTCTATTTTTTTCCCTCAGATAAAACAAACTATGCATATAAAAAGTTTTATCTACATTTTCAGAATCAGGCACCCACAATAGTGGTTTTGCTGTTAAAAAATAGCTGTTTTTCACTGCAGCATTATAGTAGGCCTACTTTTTTTCTCTATGCAAGTAGTAAAGAGAGAAGTAGAGAGGGAAATGCCTTTTAGTTATTTGATGAATGAAATGTGGCCTTTTTCTTTAGTTTTTACTCTTCAAAATCAGAACCATTTATTTACATTACATACCTAGGGTTACAGAGTTATCCTATGAGTTAAAGGTTTTGTGAAACATTTCCGACCTAACACACAATTCCTTGAAAATTACAATTTCTGGAAAATTTTATCTGCCTTGAAAGTCCAACTTATGTGACACTTGTTTTTATGGCAAAAAACAGTTTCTTGACCACTCATTAACACTACAAATCAAAACAGAAAATAAAATAAAATAAAATAAAGGTCTCAATCATAGAATTCAAAAACAAACCAAACCAAACCAAACTAAAACACTGCACAATACAGGAAAAGGAATCACTAGAAATTTCAAGAAAACTCCGTGCAAATTTGACACTTGTCCCTAAAAGCTCTTGCAATAGAGTGTACATAAATACCACTAATTGATAACCCTTCTTAATAGGACATACACCATGTTATGAAGCACACTATGAGTATATTTGAGGAGGGGGGAGGGGGGGGGGAAATTGAAGAAAAGATTTGGAACTGTTTTTGAGGAAATTTTGAACACATACTTTGTAATATACTATTTATAACTTATTCAAAATTATGCTAAAACTAGTCATATTTTGAAAAATTTGCCCAAGAAATTATTTGAAGATGTAACTTGAGATAAGATAGTGAACTCAGATAAAGTGAACCTTTGATTATACTGAACTTGTCACTTGTCCCCTTTCACTTACATTACAAATAAGCATAGAAGATTTGGTTATAGGAACCTGAACCTTGGTTATAACGAACTTCAGTTATTGGAAGTACAATAACCTGGAAATTAATTCCCTCCTGGAAAAGAATATATCACTTCAGTGCCACAAAATTCAACATTAGGCAGCTTAAAAAAATATCGTCCGAAGGTCATAATTGAAAAAGTCTCCCCTGAGGTGAAAGTAGTGCACTCGAAATGAGGAGCTTACTAATGAACTCATGCGACTCAGTTTCACTGCAGAAACAAAAGCCATGTCCTGAGTGGGCTACAACTCATGGTGGCAAATTCAGTTTCAAGTTTGATGTTACTTGATATTCCATGGAACAAAACACATTGTGTTCTAGGTAGTTGACAGTAAGCACGTGACTTCCACAACCCCACACCCTAGTGATACCTGCCATGCAGTGCGGGAAAGCGATCAGATTCAGTTACAGCCTGCGAAAGGATCATATTTGTTATTAGGTGAGTAAAAGGGCTTTCGAAGAGTGAAACTCCTAACAGTGCAAGAGCAATTGAAGGGTGTCAAGGTTACATTCTGACACTTCAAGACAATGAACAATGCACAATCAAGTTCAGAGAGAACATGAACTTTGGAGAAGAACCAAGAGAAATTATCAATAAAAAATGTCCCAAGCAAACAATTGAAAATAAAAAAATCAATTATTTGTCCTTAGAAATTTGCTTAAATGTTTTTAATATATTTTGCTGTATCT